CCTGAAGAAATAAAAGTTCAGTTAGCCAGTACTCAATCCAGGTGAAAAAATGGTGTTTTCACAATCAGAACACATATTTACACCAAGTAAGGCATCAATACACCAACGGAATCCTTGTCTTCAAGCAGGCGACAGACATTTTCAGTGTCTGCAAATCAGAACTAAAAAATAACTAATTTGTCTTCTTGACATCTGAACTCATTACAATGAACATTGCTATTTTTAATCAAATAATTCTCTAATTTTTAGTGAGTCAGCAATAGAGAAGGTTCAAAGTATGAGGTGCAAACCCTTGCCTGATGCTCTGTATCTCGCGCTCCCTGTGCGTCAACATTGCCTGAATCCTGTCCAACTCCTTGGCCTGTTCTCTCTCCCTCAGAGTCTGAGCTGCTGTCAACTCACTCACTCTCCTTTGCTGATCATCAATCAGCCTCTGAAGCTTCTCCACGTCTTGTTTCTTGGCTTCCAAGTGGCTTCGGCTCTCAGACAACTCAGCCCGGAGATGTTGTGATGTCACACGTTCTGTTGACAGTTCCTAAAGTATCATTAACATAATATTTTAAATAATTTGCTGTGATCATTTCAGATAAATATTGCTCTATCGATGTAACAATGCTTCATTTCCTTTAGAATAAAACTTTTTGGGATGCCTTCAGAGCCACCTGAAAACAACAGCCTTATTCATCTGAATTGCCAATGTCTTAACAGAATTTTAAAGAAAATATTTACTGAAATTTCATGTTGTTTTTTATTTTTGGTAATAGGAAACAATGTTATGGACGTATCTTGCATAAAAATCCAATTTTAAGTTTCAAATAAGCATTTTAGCATAAAAATCAAATAAAAAACTGGCCTCCTGGAGTTGTGAAAGCCTCCTCTGAGGTTCTCTGAATTCTGCCATGAAGACACTGTTCTGCTGTTGAAGCTGAGTCATGGTTGAATGGGACAAAGCTAACTGCTTCTCCAGAGATACCTTCTCTTCCTGTAGCAACTTAATTTTCTCTTCGTACTGATCGAGTTTCGTAATCTATGTACAAAACAAACATCACGTGAAAGACGTCTTTGATATATGTGCCTTAAAATACTAAAAGAGAGGCAGGCAATAATAGAATGTAATCAAAGACAAAATACTGTAGAGGAAAATTAGTATAAAGTTCAGTAAAAGCACTCATTTATGAAATTCCAAGGGTCCTGTAAATTTTCCAGTTCCACAGAGGCTCTCATTTAACACAGGCACTACCACGACCATCCTCCCACTCAACGTTACATAACCCATGCAGTTCAGAAAGTAAAAACTAAAGACCATCAGACATACCTCTCTGACTTTGGCTTGCCGCTGTGCTGCAGACAGATCCTCCTGCCACTGAGCACGCTCACGATGTAGTTGAGTGCGCACTTCACTCAAGCTGTGTTCTGCCACTTCCTTTCCCTGCTCTAGCAACCTTACTTGGTTCTGATATCTCTTCTCTGTCTCCATTAGTAATTCCTGACTTACCCTTTGTTCTTCTACCAGAGATTCTGCAACATCAGAAGCCATAATTTTTGTAAAATTCAGGACACGTGAACTGAAAAAAGCCAAGGCAAGAAAATTACATAATTATATCCTACAGGTCAAAGAAAATAAATGTAAAATACTGTATGAAACAGATATTTCATTATAATCTTAAAAATGGGAGATCATACAGGACATTGGACAGCATCTTGACTGCTTTGGGCTGAATAAAAAAAAAAAGACTCCACATCAGGTTCACAAAGTCGGTGCCTAAAGTATTCAGTCACTCCAAGTACGATGCAGACGCCATTTCTATGTCTCTTTCCATGCCACTGGCCTTCGTTCATGTTACAGATTTATTTTGACTTGCATCTCCCAAACTAAAAAGGATGGGCAATGATGAACAATAAAAGGAATGGGATCAGAATACTTTTTCATACTTGGAGTGTCACAATTATAAATCTAAAAAAATAAACAAATCTGAGGCCAGAGACATTCAATTTAGAAATTATAGCAAAAGTGTTTTAAAAAATTATATTTCCTTTCAATGTTTTATTTGGTTAGTATGATCACATGAATTCACCAACAGCAAAACATTTCAGACCTTGGTGTTTCTTCCGAACATTCTTCAACGTTTCATTCAACTGTAAAGTCTCAGCTACTAGTCTCTTCATTTCTTCAGCCTGTGAAGCCAATTTCAATTCCAATTGTTTTCTCTGGTCAAATTCTGATGCCAACTTGATTTCATGCTCCGCTATTACTGCGTGTATTTGCCCAGCTTTCTCTTCTAATTGCTGCAACAGTATAAGCATATCATTCCTAAGTCTAAATTCTTCTGATGAGACTTTTTTATCACAAACCTGATTATTATTCTGGGCATTCTTAAGATAGATGGAAACAGGATTCAACCTGTTGAAAAGGCACTTTAAAGGAGTGTCAAATGATAAACAGCAGTCAACACTCATATGTGATGGTATGTGATACTTCACGGGCTCTTCTGGTGAAACAGACAAAGCCAAACCTGTCTTCCGTTACACACTAGTGTTTAGGCTGTTGCTCAGTAACAGACTTTATCATTCAAGCAAAAACAATAACTTAAGACAGTAATGGAATATTTCCAAGTACAGCAGTAACTTTAAAGTAAATAAATAATATCACTGCAGTTCACATTTGTTATTAATCATCATTGTATCAACAAAATGGTAAATCATATTACCTTTTGCCAATCTTCCCTCTGTTTTTTATCTCGTTCTACAAGTTTCTGATACATCTTGTCTTTATCAACGAGAAGGTTTTCTTGCTGTTTGAGAGTTTTGTCTATCGTAGTCAGGCGTTCCTGCAGCATATTGATGGTTGAGGCTCGCTCTGATAAAACGTTTTCCAGTTGACTGATCCGGGTCTCACTTTCTCTATATGAAAGATTACCATCATCAGCCCAAAAGACACTGCACATTTTGAAATATAAATTAGATGTTGTGCTTCTGGTATGTCCCAATCATAGACAGGTTTGGTTCTGAACTGTATGATTCATGTTTTTACAATTATGATACAACACCTAGGCCAATCTGAACTAACGTTCAATGATGCAACATCAACAGTTTCAACCTGTGAAAAATGCAAATAATATAAAAAGGTTGGAACAAGGTTACTCTATGGATTAGCCCCTTCTATTACACCAAACAGGACTGGAATTTTTGCCTGATCATGCGATAATGGGAGCAGAGCCAGTTCCTGAAATACATTGGCTTCATTTCTAAAATATTGAAAATAGATCAAGTTCACAAAAATAACAATACAGAATATAATACACTATCATTAGAACACAGTCCTGATTCTGTAGCCTAACTAATTCAGACCTGAACAAAGATCCAAATAAATTCTGAAGTGTGTAAATATTTCAATAATTTACCATTCTGATGCTGAACTATTTCTATCACATGTGATACAACGCAGGTTTAACGAACATGTCAGGTTGAGGACTATTATAATTTACTGGTGCATTTCAACTACACTGCATTAATTTATTACCTTACTACTTGACGGAGTCTCATCTCATTACTTCTTGACAGTTCCTGAATTTCATTTGTCTGTTCTTCTTCAAGTCTCTTCAGATGTCGCTTCAGAAAGTCTGTCTTCAGTTCGCAGTCTTTACGGAGCCTTTCTCTCGAACCATTATGTTGTGCGCATTGTTCTGAAAAGGAAAAAAAGTGTTTCTATAAATAAAAAATACATAAATACTACATTCACATTAACAATATATATATATTTTGTGAGACATTTTTATTTTTCATTTCATCCTTCATACACTTTGTGTCAAATAAGCGCTTTATACCTACACACAAGAAATAATTTATAATAAATCACAATTTCACTCAACACTTCACTACTGTTTATTTAAATGTACGTAGCATAACCTCAAAAATGGAGACACTAGGAAAAAAATCACATGGCAGTAGTAGACAGCAGCGGCATGTAGCTGTCATGCTGTCAAATCTGTTATTCCTACAGCTTCCTGTCAAGATTTAAGATACTGTATGAATTTCACACCTGAAAATAGTCATATTTCTACTGTATTGTCATAAAACTACAAGTTTAGTGAAATGAAAACCTGAATTCAGTCCAACATACTTAATTTGTACGTGTACAGAAAAAAAAATGTATAAATTTCTGAATTTGCAACTGGTGTCATGGGAATTAGTTTCCTGGCAACAGAATCCATGATGATAATCTTTAACTAATGACAGAATTTCATTTACCATACTTCATTATGCAAATCATTTTCACTACTGTTCAAGGTATCCATGAAAAACAACGCAATAACACTGATGCTTACCAATTGACTTCACCAGATCATCAGACATGCAGTTGCCTGTAAGCATGATTTCTATCAGTGTCTGGTTAATCTGCATTGCTTCACGCAAAGAATGCCCTCCTTTCCATCCAAGATTATTCCATCTGATATCTGCAAATAATTTAAAAACAAATGACAATGTGACTTAATTAAATTCAAATGTTTACTACATGATGATAAATTAAACATAAATGTTTTCCTTTCTTAGAAGCAATAAAGAAGTAAATACTTAGTAACTAAACTTCCTCAAGCAGTTGATACCTTCTCAACTGGTCAAAAAGTTCCCTTCTTTTATAACTGTGTTCACAAATGACATCCATTAGACTCTTTCCTGAGTCAGCTGAAACCAGTCCAACTTCACAATCTATATCTTGAATATTAATTTTAATATTATCCTCACACCTATGCCCAATTTCTTAAGTGAACTCTTATGTTGAGGTTTCTTGATCAAAACTACATATATAATCAATCAATATGTGTGACATTGCTCTCAACCTGTTAATTTTAGAAAGTAGTCATAAAACAAAATGAGTATTACCATGCATTAATCATCTTACAACTTTACAAATCAAGACTTCTGAATATCCTCTTTAAGTACTGTACATTTATAATTCTATGTTAGTATACTGAACTCAGTGCAGATTGTAAAGAAATCAAATCCTGGTTGAATCATAATTCTTTTACATACATGGACCTTCAACACATTCATACTGCATGCTGCAATGCTTAAACTCCGGGATAACAGTACCTTTCTTATTGCCTTATATATACTAACATTTATGCCATTCAGTTATTTTAAAATCTTAAAATATTGTGCTACTTATCCAAACTGACCCAGTGTCTTGAGTGAAGTATTTAATTTTATAGCATCACTAAGGTATTGTCCACACTCAGGAGAAAGCTGGTTGTTCTGTAAGTCCAAGAACTCAAGCACCTTGTTTACCGCCAGGCCTTCACAGAACTGTGAAAAAGCATCCACAAAGATGCCTATACTATTCCATTCCAATGACAGTCTGAAACATTGACATTTATTTTATAAACAATAATGCATATTTTACTGTATGACACATAATGCATCAGCTATACTGAATTATTAACATCTTGATGGCAAAACACACCTTCCAGCTACGAATAAAAAAAATTCACACTGAAAAAGCTCTTAATTCCACATAACAGAGGCCTTCTTCAAAAGCTGACCATCACTCAAACGGTCAACAAACTCCTCAACTTTCATAGATGCTAAAGGTTCATTACCATGCCCACAAGTCCATCAGTGTGATCTATTCATTGCATATTTTCTAGTGCTTACATCACTCTTGATGTAAAACTGCATATGTTAATTATTAAATTAAAAGCCTTGGAATTAGAAAGTTCAAAGTAGTCTATACATGTCAGCCAGAGAACAGGCGTTTTAGAAAACAATTTCCAGAATGCAGTGTTTTTCTGGTAGGGTTGTTCACATTGCCTGGCTTACAGGAAATTATAATAAGTATCCTCCCATATTATCTACCTAGTACATAAAACAAGCATATTTGAGTCACCTTTTCAGAGTACAGTTATGCTTTAGCACTGTTCCAAGGTATGCAACACCAGCAGCCTGTATAGCATTGCTCCTAAGAATAAGACACTGAACACTGCAGTCATGACTTAAAGATGCAAGCAGTGGTGTTAATCCCCGAGGCGGAATCAAACAGTCACTCAAGTCCAACACATTAATGTTCACGGAACAACTTATTATTCTTCCAAGACTCTCCCATGTCCATGCTGACAGGGTCCTTCTTGATAAATTTAATTTTCCAGTTTCACTGAAATAGTGAAAAGTAAAAGCAAGGTTAGTTTTTACAGGCAAGCGGGCTTTTATTATTTATGACTACTAACAGAACATACTGGCTACACAAAACACCCAGTCTTCTTAATGATCATATCTGCTATCCTCTGCTACTTTTATGGGATAACTACAGCAAAATTACACATACGTCTGTCATGCGAGACAGAAAACAATTATAAACAGAATGCCTTACACTGCTGCTTTCAAAGCTGCCACCACTTCTTCTTTCGGTTGGACATTGTTCTTTTGGCAGAGCTTTGTGTATTCCTGTATTTCACTTGACATTTGGAAGTTTCTTTCTATCTCACAAACGACTAAGCATTTGTGAAATATATTTTCAATTGCGATGTGTACAGTTCTGTACCCTAATGGCAATCCAACTTCTGCACGAGTAGTATTAGGTAGTTTTTCTATGCTTGGTATTATATGTGCCCCTATGTTGGTATCCCAGATTTGTATTGTCGGTGGTTGTGTGTGGTGTGTTGGTTAGGTATTACGTGTAAGATTTATTAAAATTGTTTGTTAGTAACTATTGACGGTATGTTCGAAGGGGAAGAAGTCCCGCATTTTAATGCACCAGTTATTCAAGATAATTCAACTGGTTGGGGTCCGTGCGACATGCCTGACCAATTTAAGGACATGCCGTATCAGCCATTCTCGAAAGGAGATCGCTTAGGAAAGGTAAAGCACGTGAAACGAATGACATATGTTCGAAGTATGTGAATGTTATTCCTCTTCATATGCATTTACGATGAAGAAAATATGCTTACTGTGCAACTCTTCTTTACGTATTAGCTGTACATAATTATTCATTTTCAGATATCTGATTGGACAGGTGCAGCATTCCAGGATAAGAAGTACATAAGTGAGTAACTCATTGCACTGTGGTAGTAAATACATTTGGGATTAGTAATGGTTACAGATGTTTGAAAGCACATACGGAAGTAGTGGGCCTATGTTAAAGTGTTTACCTACTAAAACTTTTTCCGATTATGTAAGGTAAATATCGACAAATTTCATTTAGACCAAAGTTGCTTGGACAAAGCAGGTTCAAAGTTTACCTCTGGTCATGGTATAACTCTGTGGTCAGTATGGTTCTATGTGAGTAAAGCCTGATGTTTGACCCAGTGGATTAAATGTTGGATGCTCTATAAATGTTAATTATCTTGGGTGTACTGGTTCTGAAACAGATCTGAAATCTGAACTAACACAGAAAAGTAACTGAGCAACACTTTGAAAGGAGAGATGAACTCTGTACAACAGTTTTTCAGTAGAAATGTAGCTTTATAACACAGGATATGAAAATAACTCAAAAAAAATTAAAATAGTATTGTTCAAGAAAAAATACATCTTACAGGTAATGAAATTGAAATCCATTGCCATCTTATGACGTCCCTTCACACAACTAGAGTGTCATAATTAGTGTCAAATAACCGACTTCATTTCCAAATTTGTCGGTTTTTATTGAGGCTAGAACAGTAAACAGCAACTCAGAATGTAACTAACTGGTGTTCTGTACAGAAGCTACGAGTTTTATCTGTTTCATATCAATCCATTCAATAATAACAGCACTCGTACTATGAGATCAGTTTTCTTTAACTAATTATGGTAGATCTGCACTAAGTGTTATCTCAGTTTGAATTTGGTTTAATTTACTTCATTTTAACGGCCACTTGTGGGTTTGCACTTGTACATATATTTTCAGACTTCAGTTGAGAATGTACTATCATGTGTAAGTTTCTTATATTTACGTTTGTATTTTTGTTGGAACTCAGTTTACAGCGCTACTGTTATACATGCATTATTGTGTATAAATTTTATTCTTTTTATTTTAGTTTAAGGGCCTAATGCACTTTCATGTATCTCACTAATCATGTATTCATCTGAGAGAAAAATGATTTGAGTAAACATGAAGTGCACGTGTTGTGCTGGGTGCAATATTTGCACTTTTTATAAACTTGGAAAGAAGGCTACTGGCTTTGGAATGGAAAATGCCAAAAATGCAATTGTAATTGAGTTAAAGTTAGACTTTTGTTACATTACTTATATAGTTGTCTTTGTATTGCTCAGATAAATATCAGTCTCAGTTTGGTGGTGGGAGTCAGTATGCTTACTATCACGATGAGGATGAGAGCACTTTCCATCTTGTGGACACAACTCGTGTACAGAAACCACCATATCAGCGTGGGCGTTTTCGTCAGAATCAGCGGAACCTTCGTGGTCGCGGTGGACAACGTGGCTCTCATCAAAATCAGTTACAGTTGTTGGGGAAGGGACTCAAGATGAGAGACAGGTGATAAACATTTTGATAAAGAAAACATGGTATTTCAGATGGATTGTTCGTGTGACATTGAAAAGGTCATTGAATGTGGTGGTTTTCAGAATAAAAGTAGTATAAACTGTACTTACGCATTGTTGTATAAACAAAGATTTTGTCAAAATTTGCATTTCCACTTGTAGAACTGTTATGTAAGATATACATATTATTTTTACTTTATGCTTCTAGATCACTTTGACCAAATATTTGCCAACATGCGCGCACGCGCGCGCACACACACACTGTGGCTTGTTCAGAAAAGACAAAATACTTACAGAGCAAAGTTCACTGTTCCTTCATGTATAAATGTACAGTGTCCCAAAAAGATGTATACATAGCAGCAACTTTGGTGGCCACTTGCCAGTCAGTTGCTCCATTGAATTATTCACACTTGTACTTGAGAATTTAGGAAGAGTACGTATCACGATAGAGTTTACATATTCTTAACTAATGAAAGAAAAGATTGACCTAGTCTTATCTGTTATGAAATTGGTACCACATGTTGCCAGGAATCAGAGACAACAGCGTAAATGGCCACAGCGCCAAGGTATGCGCAACAACAAAAATCAGCCACCAATTAAGAGTCGTGATGCTTCAGTGACGGTGCGTCCTGACTGGACCACTATTGAAGAAATGGATTTTCCTCGGCTAACCAAATTGTCTTTACCCAATGTGAAGGAGGGAGAGGATATGTAAGTTGTTTCTTTGTCATAGAAATAAATCTGTTTTAGTAATTGTTGGTATTCTTGAAGGCAGTCATTACTCTTTCTAAAGTGTACGTAAAACTTGGATTTTGTGTGTGCCTGTCTGTTGGATACCATCTGCTTAGCCATCCTTAGGGATGTTTCACTATCATGTTACTGTTTATTTATATGCAGTATTGGATGAAATCAGGAGTTGTATTCCTCAATCATAATTCATAGTTTTGCGTTTTTATGAGTACATAACTGGGTTTTTCCACATGTGCTAGACATTTATAATTTCAGGAATTAACTGCCATGGTTTAGAAATACATTGTCTTAAAATATAGATGAGTTTCAGGAAATGTAATTATTCAGTCTTGATTCACTAGCTGTTTCTTTTTATTGCAGTAGTTGTTGTGGGTCGCTGGAATACTATGACAAGACATACGATCGTGTAAACGTGAAAAATGAAAAACCACTGCAGCGTATTGACCGTATCTTCCATACTGTTACTACTACTGATGATCCAGTGATACGTAAACTCAGTAAAACTGAAGGCAATGTGTATGCTACAGATGCCATTTTAGCTACACTCATGTGCTGCACCCGCTCAAATTACTCATGGGACATTGTTATTGAGAAAATTGGAGACAAACTGTTTTTTGACAAGCGGGACAACACAGAATTTGGTAATGTGCAATCTGATTTATTGGTTGCTGTTGTCTTATCAGTATAAGACGGACATTCATTGGTAACATCTTTTTTATGTATTACAGATTTGTTAACAGTGAATGAGACTTCAGTGGAACCACCACAGGATGATGGCAATAGCCTAAATTCTCCTCGTAACTTGGCTCTTGAAGCTACATTCATTAATCATAACTTCTCACAGCAAGTGCTGAAAACGGTAACTAATATTTTAATTATTCTTTTCTGTATATTTTGTCTGCCATCTTAATTTTAATGGAAACAATATTTCGGAGAAAGAAATTTGTCTTTGTCCTCAGATAGATTGTACAGATTCCAGTCTCCAAAATGTCACCTTTTAATTAGAATTAGGGCGATGGTTAATGTCTAAAGTGATTGTCATTGTAATGTTTTACATTGACATTTAAAATACTTGTTGTTCATGATTTATATTTTGTCTTTATTTCCATAGCACTGATAAATGTGTGTGATCTAGTCTTGTATCTGTTAACAGGGTGAACCTCGCTACAAATTTGAGGAAGGCAACCCATTTATCTCTGAGGAGGAAGCAGGTGAAGTGGCCTCAGTAGCTTACAGATATCGCAAATGGGATCTGGATAATGGAGTGGTGTTAATTTCTCGATGTGAACATGATGCTGTTATGCATGGCCCCAACGGGGAACTTCAGTTTGTCACCATCAAAGCACTAAATGAATGGGATTCTAAGGTATGTGGTCTTCAGTCTGGTTTCTTAAGGGTGTATGATGATATTGAGTGAAGACTGTTCAGAATCACGTGTATGGATATTTTCATACAAGTTATTGCTAGCCATCGCTGTGTTTTTGCTTCAATAATTATAAGACATTTCTGAGAAGAATATAGGGCGACTATGATATATGAATTGTATATTTTCTCTTAAATGGTTGTACATAACAAAAGTGTAGACCCCATTACAATTTAAACTTTTATGTAGAATATTTTTCACTTTAATGAATATTTAACCAATGCGCGGTAAAAGAAAATCCTGCTTCTAGGTGGTGTGAATAACTTTGCAACACTGTATTTTTATTTTCAGCATAATACAACTGTTGAATGTGGCTGAATATTTCTTTCTTGCAGCTGTCTGGTGGTGTAGAATGGCGTCAGAAGTTGGATACTCAGCGAGGAGCTGTGCTTGCAAATGAGTTAAGGAATAATGCCTGCAAACTTGCAAAATGGACTGTACAAGCCCTTCTGGCAGGATCAGATCAGGTCAAATTTGGGTACGTACAATTGCAGTAAAGGGATCAGTTACAGCCTAAACAACGATGGATGGATTTTCTTTTCACTGCCATGTTGACACTGGTCTTGGGTCCCACTCGTATATGTTTAACAGATGCTGGGGGCTTTTCTGCAGAGTTGAAGTGACCTTTATTTGTACCTGACTGCTCACCTCCATACGTCTTCATGGTTTGGTACTTGAGCACACTAATCTTCATTATGTGTCTTTGAAGTGTTGCAAAAATTGATCCATATGAAATTTGAGGTTCTCTTGGTGATAATTGGTGATAGGTGTGTAGACTGTCTTCTAGGTTGTAATACTCTGCGTAACCTGGTAGAAGTTCACTGATGTTTCAGATGTACTTGCTGCATCCATCTTCAAAGTAAAGAGTCCAGTATTGTACTCCCATTTGCTAGTAATCACTGTTTGTGATGAAGATGCCAGGAACAACCTGTCTTTTTCTGTCTTTTGCTATGTAAAATTAAAAAATGTATGTTTCCAATAATCTCTCTCGCTATAATGAACATCTGATTACAGGCTGTACTCATTATTTCATGGTTACACAGTATAAATCACAAAATCAATGCAGAAAACTATGAAACAGTATATTATTATAATTCTAGATATGTTTCCCGTGCTCATGTTCGAGACTCATCCAAACATGTGATCTTGGGCACACAACAATATAAGCCAAACGAGTTTGCAACACAGATCAATCTGAACATGGACAATGCGTGGGGTATACTCCGTTGTATTGTGGATATCTGCATGAAACAGAAAGATGGAAAGTATCTCATCATGAAGGACCCCAACAAGCCAATGATTCGACTGTATGACATACCAGACAACACCTTTGAGTCAGACAATGAAGATGCAGATGATGAAGAGATAGGTGAGTGAATGCGAAGAAATATGAAAACATGCATTACCAATCAGAGACTTATACTTAACAAGGAATGTTAAAGAAACTTTATTTATAGCAGTAAGCAATTATAATCTTATACAGAACTGAACATTTATCAGCTTCTTGAAGATGTAGTTCCATGAGGTTATTTGTATGCTTTGAGGTTAGAAATTCTAGTTACATTATATAATTTTTTCTTATGTTTGTTTTACATCCATCAGTTTTGATCAGTTATCACATTTTGTAAAAAGTGCACATAAAAATATACCCTGAAATATGGGAACCCTTAGATTGACATTTTTAATTGGAGGTATTGTAATTGCATACTTTTTACATTTATGTCTGATTGTTTTCTTTCTTTTTTTCTGTTTAGCTGACAACACTTTTCAGCCTTTGTATCCTTATTCATCTATAAAGAGGATCTGAACAGATTGAAGGCATTCTTGTTCATAGTAAGTTCCCTTCCGATAATGTAAAGTGACTGCACTGTGCTGGCACATCTTAATGTGAAGTAGAGGACTTAGAACCATGAAACAAAATAAAGCTACATAGTATAAAAGAATCATACTTTTATTACTCTTTGGTCTCCAATGTAGTCAGTTTCATTTGATTGAATTAGAAAATGGATAGGGAAAACTGGGACAGGATGTGAGCTTAATCATCGAAGGAAGAAAAAATTAGACCATCATGGGATCTGTTTATTTTTCTGGTTCATCTGTTTCTGAATGGGGTCATGAACACGTATTTTGAATTTATATGGGGTTCTCACTTTTAATGCTTTATAATATATGCATTTAATGGTATTATTGCATGCTACATTTTCTTAAGAATAATCATAGTTTGGTCTAATTAAATGCACCAATCACATCCATACATTTTTATGCTGAATTTTCCGTGGTCAGGGTGTTTCGTATTCTTGCATAACAAGTTTCAGTTTGCAAATTGTTGCTTCCACATCTGCATCAGTAATCTCATAGTAAGTAACAAGTCTGGCAGACTTATTTGTTACGGGGCAGATCTTAATAATTGCAGTTTTGTTTCCAAGTTTGGCAGCTTCATTTTTTGTGACCTGTAATTGACAGTTATCTTTAGAATTTTACATAAAAGATTTTGTACGCCATTATTTGCTTTGATTTTTAAACTTGTTAATTTTGTTTGCTTCTGAATGTGAAATGGCCTAACACAGTAATATTTGTGTTTATTTAAATTTATGTATTGCACATTTATAGACTTTATATAAATCTAATAGGATGAACTGAAGTAATATATCTGCATCTACATTATTATGATATTCCGTCAGAAATTAATCTTTAAATGTGTTGCACTGTAACAGTCTCTTGAATATAACCGTTTCCTTTCATAATGTCTGCACCCTGTTTTGTCTCCGTAAACATATCTTAAAAAATTAGCATTAATGAATGTATTACAAAACAGGAGGGACATACAAGTCTCACAGAACTTAACAGGGCTGTCAGGATATCTCAGTATAGAACCACTGATCCTGAAGAAAAGATAAAAAAAAATAGTATGGACACTAAACTGACAGCCTGTACTTGGAAGCAAGAAGAATAAAATATATTGGCTCAGCAAGTAATGATATGCATTTTATTAATTAAAAAAAAGATAATATGTAGTATGTTATGCATTCAGGCAGTACTGAATTTGAATTCAGGTCAAAATTGGGTCTAATTTCACTATAAAATTTCTTTCTCCATTTTTTCAGCTGCTTTTGTAGTGCATCTATACTTTGTGACTATCTTAAGCTGCGCTATCCTATCGTTATATTATTTTGGGTCTGTTTCTTAAAAGCTCAAAGATAATGGATCCAGTTCTTGACTGGTATTATAATCTTACCATCGTTAAACGATTACAGAATTCTTCAGAAGTGATCTGTTGACTGTTGATATTTATCATGACAATATTAGTCTGGAGATTCTCATAGTCAACTTGAAAGATTTTACTGCCAGATTCAGCAACAGCTGAAAAGAAAATTGTTGGTACACTGTATTAAATACCTGTAACCCTCTGGCTTAACACATTTTATCAGCATATTCAACATTGTGCATTTGCAAATGTTTTCACAATTGTCAGTTTGGTGAGTGTAAATTAGAAAATGGGTGCAGGATGCTGAAATTGGCTGCAACCATAATTCATAAATAAGCAACTGATTACAAAACATTCAACATATGGTGATACATCGACTGTTTTGTATTAATCATTTGCTGTTTATGAATACAAACACAGTTTTTTGTTTCACATTTTTACCGGCGGATTTGCTTGTTTGTGTGCAACCCCACCCCCCAATTAAACACTTCGTACAAAAGTTTTATAATTCATTCTCCTTTCCAAATAATATTAGGGCAATCCAGTAAAGTATGATGAATTGGGCAGTACATGTAGCGCACATGTAACCATAATAGAGAGGGGAAAAAAGTTTGATGACTAGAATCCCTGTGCATCAACAGTGCCAAGCTACCCAATCCTATCAGTCGTACTAGGGTACAGAACCCAGAGAATATATCTATGGTTCTTACGATTCAACAAAGTAACAAGGATATTCTTATTTCTTTGCAGAGCAGAGTTTTTTTATGGCTGCTGTATTCAACCCTTCGTTACCTTTCCCAATGGCATTGGCCCTGTTGTGATCTTCTGCAAGCCTGACCACCATAGTATTCACACCCGCTTGCCTCATTCCTCCACCCAGTGCCTTCCTTAAACGTCGGCTCCTACAACATAAGTATATACACACATTATTGATATTTGAGGTTCTCGCTGCAGTGGATATGAAGATCTCTGGGATATTTTGTCGTGTCTGGTATAAGTTTGCTGGCATTTCAGAGGTACTTGCTGCCCTGATGATGAGAATCATCAGTACACATCTACCAGTCTACATGGTGCATCATCCCAAAAGTCTTCTTCAAGTACACACATTATAGTATACAAATGAGTTATGTTTAAGTAATACTTTAATATATTTAATTATAAAGACTTGAACAGGATGTTTACCTTTATTTGCACTGCCACACTTCTCATTGGTTATTCCACAGACCAGCAAGTGAAGTACAATGGCCAGTTATTAAAATTTGTGAAATTCACAAATTTTTTTTTCCCTTGCCTGATTGCCTGTCTCAGTTGTGTAGATAATCTTAAAACATAAAACTCATCCAAATTCTTTGAAACAAGTAGCAGATTTAGTCTTACCTGTCATCAAAGGCGTTTTGATTCTACCTGTCACGTTACAGGTTAGCAACTGTAATTCTATCCCAAACAAGATTCAAGGACACAGACACATTCACATTTTTCTGTGTTCTGTGCGTACAGACTTTGCAATGAGGCAAATCCCTGTTCAAGGAGTCCTATTTAATGTATGAATATCTTTCTAATTCATTAATCCTATCATTTAATGCTATAACCTACAATCTGAGCTACTAACAGCATCATTAAATAACCAAAAATAAATAAAATATGTGCCTTGGACTGCACAACCACCATATTCCCAAAATTACCAAAACCCAAATATTTTCTTTCATTTGATGAATGAAGAAAGACTTCATAGGCTGTACGTCTGTTCGCCTACTAATAAGACAAATGTACTGATACTTACTTGCGTATGAACTGTTTATCCCCAGTCAATATTGCACCCACAGGGGCTCCCAATCCCTTACTAATACAGAATGTGGCAGATGCAAAATCTCTGACAATGCGTGATGCTGGTACTTTTAGGTAAACTGCTGCATTGAACAACCGGGCACCGTCCATATGTAGAGGTATGTGAAGTTTATTAGCACGTACTGCCAGCTGAAAAAGATTTTGTGATAGTTTTTTTCTTTCATAATAGATGGCATTGGTGAAGTATTAAAAACATACTGAGGTTCTAATTTATTTTTAATTAGTACTTTAACCATTTACAAATATATTTTTATGTGCAAATATTTTCTTACTGAACAGATTTATACACCATACAAACTGGTGATACTTTGGGTTGCATTTAATTGATTCCATGCTGTAAGCATAATCCATTATTACTGTGGTATCTAAATTTTAAAATTGTTATAGCATTTAATACTGTAGTTTGAGAAATATACCTGTCACTATTACAGGTGTAAAGGGGCTTCTAAAAATGTTAAAATCACTCCCTACATTACTTACATCATCTAACCATTCCAATGACAACACTCTTCCGCCACACCAATTTTGGGTGTTCTCAACACAGATGAGAGATGTCATTGGTTCGTGGTCATCTGTGTGATTTCGCACTTTCTCCTCCATATCATCTAAGTCAAATGTTCCATCTGGATTGTTACGCAGTGGCCATATTTGTACTCCAGCAATCTGCACATAAATTACTTTAATAATTTCAGTCACTTCTACTTTTGTGACTAAACTGCTTTTAGTGGGTTTTGACTTATATACTTCTTCCTTAAAATATTTCCACATTGTGTGGATTGTATATTTCTTATGTTATGATTACATAATAGCACTGCTCTGGATAAAATCATTTTAATCAAATCTGGTTTCACAAGTCAATAAAAATCAACTAAATGCAGTTTTTGTCCAAACTGAACATGAAAATCTTTGCTTCTATGAGAACCTAACATTTCATGGACTATCATCACATATGCCTAGACACGTTTTTGAGTATGTTCAAGAAATTCTTCACAGGATTGCATATCTGTGCTGTGCACATTGTTTGCTTATGTTGGGCACTGCTTTGTGGAATATCATGTGACCAAATTTTTCAAAATTTGTTACATATCATACCTGTGCTGGACCACCCTGTTCAAACAAGAATGTATGACTTTTCTCCCCACATATCATTTCACTTCCTCTCTGGCTGCAGTGAACCATGACTGGAAGAAGCATTAATAATAATACAATAGCTGCAAGAATTATACCGATTTTAAAGATGTTTCCACAATGTATTTGCTCAACTTGCATTTTATTAATAGAAAATAACAGGTATTTGAACAGAAATGAATATGCATTATTCTCATCATACACATTTTGCAAAATGTTCGTACTTGCTAATAGGTTTGCCATTGTCCCACTTGGTACAAACAATCCACTTTCTTTTCCGAGTAGAGCTGCTGCTTTTTCTTCCAGTGCTGCAAAAGCACAGAAGCTCATGAGGTCAAATAGTGGGATTAGAACAATCACTTTTCATTAGCAAATACAAAGCTAATTCATGTTTTACCTGATTTTATGCATGTGCTCTGAAGTATTATTTGCTAATGATATTTACACACAGTATTTTAGTAATTTATAAAGATCAACTAGTATTGCTAGAATAATGAAATATATGAGACTGTGATGGGCTAGACATGTAGCTAGGATGAATGGTGACAAGAAATGCATAATAATTTGGGGAGGAAACATCTTAGAATAAAGCCGCTTGGAGTACCAAGAAGGAGGTGGCAGGTAGAGCTCCATACATCACCACTAGATGGAAGTAAGGTGAGGGGTCAGTTTCATGCTCTGGTTGCTGTAACTCAATATCCATTGGATAGGAGGCTGTGTGAGCCCACACCCAGTCTTCTGGTAGTGGCAAAGAGAAAAATTTTGCCCCTGTCAGGAATTGAACCGTTGTTCAGCCCAGAATCAGCCACATTCCTTTTGGTTGAGCTATCCTGACTCACTATCACAGTATAACACTGTCCCTAATTTCTGTTGTTTTTAGTAATTCAAGTAAATTTAAATTCAAAATAATGTAAATATATACCATTGACTGTTGGATCTTCACCATAAACGTCATCACCCACTGCCGCTTCAAACATAGCTTTGCGCATTTCCTGTGTTGGTTGTGACACTGTATCACTCCTCAAATCCACAACCCGTACCTGAAAAATTGTTTTTTCTTGTATGTGCCTTGCATTTTCACATCAGGTAAATAAGTTTAGATGGTAATAAATCTTCCAAATATGCAATGTTGGTTCATGTGATTTTTCTTGTAGAATATACAACAGCAGGATAGCAACCATATTAATCTATATATAGTTAATTAAAATTGTCACTCTTTCTGGCAAACACATTTCAGCCCCAAGTTGTTTACTTGCATTTTCTTTTAACTTAAATATTAGTCAACCTGAAACCAAGTCCCACAATTGAATGAAATCTATAGTACCATTATTTTTGTATTAAAGCCTGAACGATGTTATATATCAAAGACATTTAACATAAAATTATCTGCGTTCAATGATAAATAGAATAGCCAAGACATTCATAAGATACTATTAGTTACTGTCTTAAATCTTTAACATCTTACAGTGCCTTTGCTTCCCATGATCTTCAAAGAAGTCCCACAGTTTCCTGGCAATCTGTTGTGTGCTCTGTTGAAATGTAGAACAAATTCAGTACTGATAATATGCTTAAATATGCACTTTAACATAGACACTCTGATAAGCATTTGACAAATCAGAAGTTTCTGGCCCAGTAAGTTAAAGAAAAGACAAAAAGTAACACTCTATGTCCAAGGTTCATACCATCTGATAGCAGTGGCTTGCGATAATATAAACATTTGACCATACCATAGTCCATTCATCAAGAAGTCAATACAATAACAGGCATTTTGTATAATTAGTTCATGAATAATGTCTTATTCATAATAACATATCATGTTTAATTGGTAAATAATGAACATGAAACTTAACAGTTATTTTAAAAGAGAATTAGCCCAAATATTGTGTGGCTGAAATGTTGAGTAACGATACGAGTATATAGATTGCGAAACCATTAAACGCCGCATGTCTTACACATTTTTAAAAGTGAGCTACAACCAAAGTAACAACGGTCAAACGTATTTGAAAATTGAGGGCATAATTCTTTGTGTTGAAAAGGAGAGAGGATTAACTGCTGGGATCCTAAATTTAGGTTTAGTAGCATCCATTACTACAAATACATATACGCATGCATTCTCTTAAGTATACAACTCCTGACCTAACAAACAGTATCAACGAAGACTTCAGCACAGATAACTTTAAGCACAGACAATAACTTTCTGCGACAAGACAACCAGGCGGCCCTTAACCACAATCCCTACGTTATGACGAAAGTCTGTGGGTATGATAATATGTTGCTGCTTTGTTAGGCCATTAGAGGTGGTGAATCGTGGTCAGAGCTACTGCCATCGATTACAAACATAGTAATCATATACTTCGATAGGTTTGCCGGAGAAAGTCCGTGGTGGGGGGTGGGGTGGGGGGTTTGAAGCGTTTGAAGCAAAGTTCGAATGAATTACAGGTACGTGTAATGGAATATTGATGGTGGCAATATGTTAAAACTTATTTTGAAATTATTTTAGAAAGGCACAAAGTTGTGGAATTTTGTTTTGATTGAATCCGCTATTGTATTTTGAGGCGAAACATTTCAATATTTATGCTAAGGTGAACTGCATATCTTTGTTGAGAAAGAGTGAAGAATATGTGATTTTTTAAGTGCGTGTAACATTTTTAAAATTTAGCGTTGTTTCTTTCCTAAAATAACCAAATCCACTGCGTCAATTATAATTATACATAATGGTCATTACAGTATAGAAATATACAAACCTTGTACTGCATACTTGTGCATTAATCATACATGCTAGTCAGACAAAGTAGCCACGAACTCATGTAGGGCAATACATATGTGAAATTTGATCTCTTTTGCTTTGGCCTTCTACAGTAATGGACCTAATGTTGCAGTGATATAAAGCAATTTTCATCCAACTAAGAGCTGGAAGTTTTCATTATCTACACGCAGTAATTTTTGAAATGGCGCCAACATGCGCCGTTGCTATTTGCTGTTCTGTTTAATCATAGTAATCACAACAGCAACGCTGCCAATAGTAATTTATGGTTTCTTAGAACATATGGTTGATACATACGCCTTAAACTATTAATATATATGCTTGACCAAGTGCTGGAAGATGTTTTGACATACCTGCATTGAATATGTTTTAAATCAAACTTCTGCATTCTAAAATTTTGTGTTAAAATCGAGCATTTACGAACAGAAGGTCCGTGACCGCCCTGAGGTCAGGTTACGTGTTCGAGGCGAGTGACAATTTCACGAAGGGAAAGTTTTCTTACATGCCCAACTGCTACAGATGTTTGGTTCTAGTAGCAGTAATAACTTATTACAAAGTCGTCTGCGTCTTGAAACCAAATCTGTTTAACATGATCGTCACCTTGAGGCCATGTTTGAATGAGTCATACCAAAGGAAACAGAATATTAATTCCCTTATCATTAGCACCTGGATTATTTATTAAGCAGATATATACATAAAAGTCTTACAAAAAAATGTAATAGAAATGAAACGTTTTAGTTAAACATGAATAAACTTTACTCTTTGTAGAAGTTAAATTTCATTCATCGTTACGAATGGAAATAGTAAAATGTCTCATTAGCTGTGAATTCCAATGCCTACTTTAATAATTCACACTTTCAAATTTCTACCTCTTTGCTACGGCGGTGTTACTGCAGTGCTCCCTGGCGGTATACATTCATTTTGTCACGTGATCAAAGGATAGCGGGCGTCGGCCGCTGGCGCAAATCCACTCTTGCTGTAACTGTCATATGGTCGAGGACGGTGTTAGCACTTTTCACTCCACATGTACCGTAGTAACAAAAGATCAGTTGTGTGGTGTAGATAGCAAGGACTTGGGTGTTTTACAGTTGAATATTCTACAGAATTTCAGTAACGTTACGGAAGTTGTGAAAGAGTTTAAATTTGTTCGGCGTGTGTACAATCAGTGTGGTGCCGTCTAGAAACATTTAATCTCTGCTCACAGGCCCCTGTATTCTTCAACATGGCGGATAGTGACACGAAAGTTGACCGGTCCGATCCGGAATTGAAATACCTGTCTGTTGATAGAAATATGTTCAATGATCCTGCCACACAAGCGGAATGGACTCAAAAAAGGTTAGTGTGGGTTCCGCACGAATCCCATGGCTTTGTTGCGGCCGGTATCAAAGGGGAACGTGGCGACGAAGTGGAGGTTGAAATCGTGGAGACCGGTAAAAGACAACTGGTTGCCAAAGATGACATCCAGAAAATGAATCCGCCCAAATTCGACAAAGTGGAGGACATGGCTGAATTAACCTGCCTGAACGAAGCCTCAGTACTCCATAACCTCAAGGACCGATACTACTCTGGGCTCATTTATGTAAGTGTAAAAATTTTACCTTAATTCTTTGTGTGAAATTAAAGGATGTGTACATAACATATTTCCGACAGGATTGTGTCTTAATTTTTCCCAAACTCTTGTGAAAATTCTAATAATGGCAGCCCATGTACACATTTGGATAACTGCCATGTTGTAAACTGACAGTTTAAGAATGTATAAGAAAGTAAGTTTTCTGCCATAACAGGTTGATTATTTTTGGATTGATGGATAGCACATTTAATTTCTGTACTATGTGTTGCGTTTTGAAGGTTTCAAAATTAACACAAGATGAGTTGTGCTGCAATATGCAGTTTTGGGAGTAGGCATTTTGTTCTCAAGATTTCACCCACTTGTATGAATTTTTCCCCTCAAAAATAATAGTGTGTATTATTCATTACACGTAAAAGATGAAAAACAAGTAAAAATGTTCTTGAGTTTGTTTTTTATTGTAATTTAAATTCTTCTATACATCAAATGTCTACATTAACAGTATGGTAATCAGTTGTGTTAGGCAACTTTGATGGTTCACATTAACAAGTTCTTGTTCTTCAATTTTTGATGCTGGGGGTTTCAATGTATGACTTCAGCTTTCGGATGATTGTGTCAGCTGTTGAAAATTATCCGTTTCAGCAAATATTGCAGTTGCAATGTTGGGCAGCACACCTGTTCAGCTCCACCAGTCCACACCATCAAATTCAACTCTACACTTACTGTATGTCCTATGAAAGGCTGCCAAAATGCCAAACCATTACATAGTTACCCCGAAGATGGCAACTGCAGAGTTTGCCAAAACGTAATTTTTAAACTTTTATGCATTTCATTCCCAAAGGCTAAAGTTGTACATTACAAACTTAACCAGGTGTTGTGTAATTCACTTGGAAGTATCCAGTTTTCTCTTTAAGATAAAGCCCTGTCCTTTCGTTCTTCAGACTGTTTTCTCCAAGGTCTATGGAAAATTTTCGTTGAACTTCCTTCTCATATCGTGCCAGTAAGAACTATACCGTGAAATATAACAATTTACTTTATGATTCTTACATCGTTGCAATACAAAACATTTAATTACCTTTTACAGAAGTGCGGCTGTAATTACATTGATTGGTATTTTGTGGTATGTTTATTTTATAAAATATATGTTAATATTTTTATATACTAGGGCAGAACGCTTCTTTCGGAGCTCCTCAGAGGGGTTGGTCAAGTTTTTAAATAGCAACGAACCCCTTCGGGGGGGTTGGTTGCGTTTAAAAACCTTGAGTAAGACACTAAACTCGGCATTGTTGTGTTGTACTCGGCATTGTCGTGTTCCACAACAATGCCGAGTTTGTTTATACTCGGCATTGTTGATGACGTAATTTATTGACGACAACGAGGAATCACAAATTTTTATAGTAAAGATAGATGTGTTGTACTCGGCATTGTCGTGTTCCACAACAATGCCGAGTTTGTTTATACTCGGCATTGTTGATGACGTAATTTATTGAAGACAACGAGGAATCACAAATTTTTATAATAGATTCTTAAAATATATTTTAATGAATGATATTTGTTATTGTTTATTCTGCCTTTTGTATAAACATAGTTTTTAATCATCAACCTTTTGAAAGAAACTGCATGTAATGCTTTTGATGTGTTTCTCCTCAGCTATTGATGGAGTTTTCTCTGTATGACCCATTAAGAATAATTTCATTGGGTCATGTTTTTCTGTTATGTACTTCAATTTATTTAAATTCAACATGTACTATATATATATTTTATTGCTGAATTTAATTTTGTGGTGAACTTTAGTATGCATGAGCTAAACATTTTCGTACTGTGTAAAAGACAGGTTGTCCAGGCCTGAGGCCAAGTTTTCTACACCTTTTAGTGGAGAATTCCTGGGTTATTAACATATGCATATTTAACATTGGTTAAAGCAACGTTCGTCTTTCAGTTGAAGCAGATATTTTCCTGTTTATGACACATTATGTGGTCTGAAGTTTGAAATATTGAAAGCAGTAACGTCGTAGTAAATTATATTTTAATTCTGGTTACAATTAACGAAAGCTCGTGTCACAGCACAGAGGTCGCTGCCTATGCAATTAACGAAAGCTCGTGTGTCACAGCACAGAGGTCGCTGCCTATCATTAAAACTAATGATGCGTGTGGAGTCACCCAGCAATAAAGTTGCGAATGCATTTTCACTGCGAGTTTGCAGGATTCAGTACAATAATTATTTCGTGATAAATGTCGGCGTTGTTTGAAACGGATCGTCTTCTCTCTCTGTCTCCGTTGCCCTTTCTCTTTTGCTCGGCTCCCTCCAGCTGAGCTGCAACAAGTACAAGGTCGTTCGTTTTCACTCTCCACATTGTGCATCATCAACTTGTTTTTAGATGAAAATGCCCTCCTCACTGCTTCAGAGATTGTTTACCTTTTACTGTAAGCTTGTAGTAATTTGTACGGTCTACAATGTGCTCAGGAATTTTTCTCAATGCGGTCATTAACGTATCTCTTACTAAGGGTACCTCGATAATGGATAAGTAGTTGGAACACTGTAAATAGCGTTTCTTTAGTACACCATTTTCACAATTTGGCTAGTTATATGTATTTTTTGTGCCGTGTAGAAATTGGGTAAGCAGGCTGTTTACATAATAGCAGCACAAATGTAACTGTGGATTGTGGCAGAGAAAAGTTGGAATACGGCTGCGCCGAGTTAGTTGCGCGGTAAAGCGTCTGACAGTGATTGAAGCGTAGTTATCAAAACTGGTTCAGCGCATGTAAAAGTTTTTGGTAAACAGACTTAGGACAAGTTTAGGCACAGGCATTTTATTCTAGGAATCGGTGAACAAGCACTTTGTGCGTTCCTGTTGGTCTGAGCTGGTTTTGAGGCCCGCCAAGTCCCGGACCGAGCGAGTTCTGAAAAACGCCATAGTTTTCAACATCCCACCGCTTGATGTCTCTGGCACTCATGCCAGAGGCTGGGTGCGTTCCTTTTCAAAAGATACGCAGGGCTACATTGGAATGTATTTTGAACGAGCTGCTGCTTATCTGGTGGTGTGTCTAAGATGTGATTTCGGGTAATTTTTTGAAAGGGAAAAACAACTACATGTTATTTCACTCCTTTTATTATCACAGTATTTCTTAAAAACGCCGTTACCATGACACAAACTTCTCAGGTGTTTGGGAATTTCGGATTTTACCCCGGAATCCCTCTACGTCCCGCTGTGAGGTAGATCGTATATAGAGTATCAGTTTGCGTCCGTAACACGTTTAACTCTCTTTAATCCTGGAAGTTATGTGACAGCGTTGAATCACTGAGGTGTTTGTAGCTGTTGTTTTAAGCTTCCTGACATAAATTAGCCTATTTTCAACATCTGTTAACAGCGCCTCCAGTACTAGGTCACAGGGGGATAAGTAGACTTGAAAAGAATACTTGTGTTTTCTTTGAATATATTATTCTTAGAATAAACAACAATTATTTCCCTCACCAACATTAATGGAGACGTGTTATGTTTTATTTTATGCAAAAAAAAAAGTAAAGCTGTCACATACGTCATTTAGGCGCTTGGGCGGAGTGAGAGGATGTATATAGCTCATAGTCGCACTAGATGGGGGTGAGTGGTCAGCGTCACAAACTTCAGAATACATCGTTTGATTTTGCTTGACAAGGGGCGTGTCTTGAGACTCTTGGAACTCGTTGACATTGCCCTGTTATTGCAGTTAGAAATTTAGCAGCAAGCCAACCAGCCCTCATAAGTTAACGAAGCCTGTATCTGGCACGCCGAACATATGCATGTGACATTCTGCTCCTCAAAGTCGTGGTGTTCACTTTAATGGCTTTTTGGAGCACTTCTAGCTCGCCACGTTGATGTGACAGGTAAGTAATAGAACGAGGCTTCTAATGCTGTTCCGTTCACAAAGCCCTCGTTCAAGTCGGGGAAGACTGCAGGTCGGATTTAGGCCATCTTGTCACATGAAAACAGTTTCTAATTCAAGTCATTAGATTTATGCCACCATCTTACGTAATTAAATGGAGCAGTATTCTTCAGAAGCTGGTAGTTATGGTAAATTGCGAAGGGAGTACCAAGGAGGAATAACAGGGAGCGTTAACAGTTGGATAAACCAGTGGTATTCAACCTGGGGTACGCGAAGACATCTTAGGGGGCACGTGAAATTTCAAAAAAAATATATATTTTATGATAAACACTGAATAATCAGTAATGTAATTTATTTAATTTAGATGTAGATTATATACTACGTATAACTTGAAGTATACACCAACAACTTTGGGGGTACAAAGTTGAAGAGAAATTATATCTGGGGGTACGCGAACAAAAAAAGGTTGAATACCACTAAGATAAACGATAGCAGTTGGTTCCTGCACGTGTTCCCGGTCATGTAAGTTGCCTACTTTAAGGCGTCCTTCAATTCTTTTGTGTTGTGTTAGCTTCCGAATATAATTTAACCAGCAAAATCACCATGGAATTATTTGAAATAGCAACACCATCAAGACTATAGAATGGCGATAAATTAGAGGATGATTTGAAGGGCCTGTAATTATTTATTTATAACACACACCAAACTCTTACGTTCTACAAAACGGTCACATAACATAGAAGTTTTTTTTTCGCGTGTAGTCGCGGAAGTTCGTAAGTAAGTTTTTCGTGTGTGTTAGAAATAAATATAATTACACGCCCTTCAAATCGTCTGCAAATTTATGGACATTTGAAGGGCATGTAATTATTTACAACGCATACAAAAAAAATATATACTATAAAACAGACACAACATTCAAGTTTTTTTTATCTGGCGGGAATAAATTATTCTGCTTTGAACGTTGTTTGTGATGCAATTCGCCTTTCATTTTAATCGAGTGAATTACACAATTATCGACGTTATTGGGGTCAGTTTGCATCGAAGAGTTTGTTTAAGAACATTATATCTCATACTTTTGTATTTGATTACTGCTTATTGCGCATTGATGGTACAGTCTGTGTCTAACTTGTTCGAAGGTTTAATGGGAACAGTTGAGAAATGATAGAATGCTGTTATTTTATGGAAGTACGAGTATGGGACTACTGAAATTTGTTTAATGCCTTATTGATTACCAGTTCAATTATTTTCATATGGGAGTATGCCCCAAAACCAGAGATAACCATCCTTTTTGGTGTGGCTTATAATCACTGTGTGACTGCTGAGGAAAAGCTGGGAATTTACATATTTAGATTACAGTTATGCACTTTAATCTGCTGTACTTACTGGCCCAAGAGTTAGTGTGTGATAATGTTTTGGAAAATTAAACGAATTAAAACTACTTATGAAGATTCTAAAATTCTCGCGTTCACCGCAAAAACCCTTTCGAGGGCACCAGGGTGTTGGAGATAAATACGTAGGATGTAACAAAAGATTAGTTTATTTGAGAAAGATTAAGATGTCAGTCTTAATATATCTTGAGATTACCTTGAAGAGGAACTGAGGGAAACCAAGATATCATCGGGTTAGTCGAAGCCTGATTATGAAACAAATGCTTTGACTAGTGTAATCACGTCCAGGTGGACATGATTGGTCTCCGCATGTCTGAGTTTGTATCGACCTGCAATCACTTGTCATCTAGAATTACCTGCTGTTCGGGGACCCTTGGGGCTCTTCATCCGTCATTCATGTGGACATACGCAGTGGCGTTTCAGGCTAGACACTGTGCATTGTTTTAGGGACGGCGTTGCGATGGCTACATGCAGTAATATAATAAATTAACTGTAGACCATAACGAACAAATTTTTCGTATGCGTACTGAATTATGATCCAAAATACAAGAGAAATGGACACTGTCACGTGTCTTCGTTACTGATTGCATAAATAAATAAGTTACGATATTAACCTGGCCTCATTAAAATATACATGAAACATTTTTGATTAATTAAATTAATCGAATATGTAATGAGATCGGTGTAAGCCTAATGTTTCAAATTCAATTATGTAAAATTTATAAAATTATACGCATATTTGCATATTTATTGGTGACGACGAGACTGGGATTTTGTCGTCGGGTTTTAGATGATGTTTGCATGTTTCTTCACTTAACGAACTTCGAAAATTCCTTTCTATTTAATGTGTCTAAGAAAACACATTTCAGATAGCCATGAAGCTAATTTAAGTATCCACCGGAATTGGACTTAACTTT